AATAAATGCTAAGTAAATTAAATTTTAAATTAATTGATTCTATCTCAATCATTTATTTACTTGGCTAGAATTTATTTTCTTTATAAATTAATAACTAAGACTTTTTTATAAAACAAATTTATTATCATTTGTCATGGAAATTTTTTAAATAGTCCAGTTATGAATAGACATGTTTATTCGTCGAAATTTATAAATTCGATTATCTTTAATCGTGGTTTCCAGTGTTTCCACTAATGAATGAAAACTATCGAGTAATTCATTCGATGGTTTTAAAAACAATCGATGAATAATAATATCTATTCGATAGATAAATCACTCGGTAGTTTTTGAAACTATCGATAGACAATCGATAGTCAAAACTAGACGGTTGCGCCCATCACTAGATATAACAGTTCTGTGTTATTTTATGTTATCTATAATCTTAACATATGCTTGATAATCTATGTTTTTAGAAAAACTCAAAAGGTTACTGAATACTGATGTTTGATAAGACATAGGTCTTAAAAATAAAAAATTTTTTTTTCATATTTTATATTTTTATTAGTATTATTACAAATTACAGTACATATTTTATATTAACTTCATTGTTTGCAATATCCAACAACTATAATTAAATTTAATCGTCAAATTCATTACGACTATCATCAATATTTGAAAATATATTTTTGTTTAAAATGGCTGCTCGTGAAGCCTCTAAATGTGCAACTAAAATGGTCAGGCCATTATTGTCATCTGATAAATCAGAAGCCAAAAAAAGAGTTTTAAATTTATACAAAACATATTACAGGCAAATCCCTCTGATGTGTAAGTAACAATTTAAGATTTATATTTTTAAAATTGTATACAAAGTTAATGTACCTATTATTGTAGTGTTTGATCGCCATTTACCTGTTACAAAAGAAGAATGTCAAATTAAGTTGAAAGAAGAATTCTTAAAAAATAAACACATAACTGATGTTAGAGTCATTGATATGTTGGTTATTAAGGTATGTAAGTGTAGTGATCACGTCGCCTACAGGTATCAGTAGTCAAGGATGATGTTTGGAAGGTGACTCTTGAGTTAATTTAAACAATGTGGAATTCTTCTTAGTTAAATTATTTGATTATTTATTGACATAATTAATTATTATTTGACAAAACATATATATTTATTTATAACATGAAAACTAAATTAATTTAAATATTTAAGTATTCTGAATGACTAGA